CCTCATGTCTGATACATGGTACACGTACGCGTAGCAGCGATCATAGGAGGCAGCATCAACATCAACATCATTTACACAGCAGCAATCATACAGTAGGCCGCATCAACGTCAATATCAACAGCTGTAGCAGCGGCTAGACGCAGGAGGCTAGAGGCATGGTATTGCATTCTGCATGGAAGAGTCGAGCAAGGTGAAACCTGTCGCAGAACGTTCCGAAAGGAAAGAGGAAGTACCATCACAAACAAGATGATGTATTTCACTCTCCAAACAAAGCAAGCGTCCCCACGGACAAGAAGAGACAAGGGAGGCTGTTGTGGTCGGCCCAGTCGTAACCAGGGGTTCCGTCGTTTCCGGCGTTTCGCTTCGGGTGCGGTCTATTATGTATCACTTGGGGCAGTCTCTCTCCCCCCTACCCCTATTTCTCCCGTTCCCCCTGAGCGCCACACGTCGCCATGGCGATTTCCCCATGCCATGGCGATTGACTACATCCCACCCGTTGAACCGAGCGCCGAGGCAGTGCCCTTCAGCGATGACTCCGCGTTCTCGGGAAGAGAACCGCGCACACGCCCGTCTCAGGAGGCACTGCCTCGGCGATGCGGCTCGGCTCAACGGGTGGGACGTAGTCAATCGTCGTGGGGAAATCGCCATGGCGACGTGTGGCGCTCACGGGGAACGGGAGAAAGGGCGTGCGCGAGAGGTGGGCTTGTCGAAGGTGGTGTGCACGGCAGGCGGGCGGACGTGCGATGCTCTTCGCGGCATGGACTTTGACGGGTTTGACGTCCGGCTTATTCCGCATGATCAACGATCACACCACGCCGGAGAAGGCGTACCTCCTCATTAGGGCGATGGGGACTGAGAATCAAGCCGGCGTGCCGGCCAAGATGTCGGACGACGAGATACTACTCCAGTCGAAACACAGAGTCCGCCGTGCGCGGGGCACTTGAACACATAGTTGGCCGTCGCGTCCAGCAAGACGCGCTTCGTCTGGAGTAGTATCTCGTCGTCCGACTTCTTGGCCGGCACGCCGGCTTGATTCTCAGTCCCCATCGCCCTAATGAGGAGGTACGCCTTCTCCGGCGTGGTGTGATCGTTGATCATGCGGAATAAGCCGGACGTCAAACCCGTCAAAGTCCATGCCGCGAAGAGCATCGCACGTCCGCCCGCCTGCCGTGCACACAGCTACTCGTAAATCCCACACTATAATAAGGAAAGAAGAACCAGCTCGGAATCACTATCATTTCTGCATCGAAAAGTCGAGAAAGGTGAAACCTTTCGCAGAACGTTCCTAAAGGAAAGAGCCAGTATTATGACAAGGAATAATATGACTTTCACTCGCCAAACAAAGCAAGCATCGCCACGGAAAACAGTAGAGTGTTCTTTTTTGAAGCCACCACGCACCCACCCTGAGCAGCACCGATCCTACTTATTAATTCCAACAAATTTTACTACTGCGTCGAGTATACGAAAGATCAATCAATCACCGACATACAATGTAGGGTAGGGATCACAACGATTGAGGTAAACTGATCCTTCCTACTCGCGACGGAGTGGCAACACCAACCACTCGTAGAACGTGATGCCACTGGTAAATCCCACACTGCGAGGAAAGAAAAACTAGGTGGGAAATACTGATGTAAGCGTAAGTAGTCCAAGTACTTCCCTTACCTTCTTCCCGGAGGCGAGGTCATCCTTGAGCTCCTTGAGGGGGCCTTCGAAGTGCAGACTCTCCGTGGGGTTTCGGTTGTACACCCAGTCACTCATCGCTCCGAGCATGAAAGACAGGCCCCTGTAACACAAAACAAAACGACAAAAATAGCGCGGTAAAAATGCTTCAAGTCGTAGAAAAAAAAAAAAAGAAGGCAAGGACGAGGACGCGATAAATATTTTCGAGTCCGCTAGGTGTGTAGCTGCAAAAATGAAGGCTGCGACGGAGAGACGTTTGGATCATGCGACAGTCAGACAAGCTATGCTGGGGCTAACAAGTGGCCTGGGAAGCTGGGGAGGCGAGAAGTGATGTAGACAGGATAGGGAAAAACGTGTTTGCGCCACCTTTGGCAAAGTAGGAAGGATCGAGTGGCCATCGGCGATCGACCCTGTGGGAACAATATTCCACCCTCTCGAGGACGCGCGGGCCATCGTGTAACAGCCATAAGGCATGCAAAACATGAGAGTACCCCCCGCGCAGCGACTCGCCGAGTACCTCATGGCGCTTCACGCTTGGTGACGTGAGAGCCTGGTCCGTTGAGAAACCCGGCGTGCTCTGTCCCGGCTTTGAAGGGATGCGAGGTCAATGGTCCAACGACTGCGGCATGCGCGACTATGAGTACACACACAAGACGCCCCTGCTGAGAAACACACCTGGGGAAAGAGCCGGTGTTGAACTCCCTGAGGTTGAACTCTACGGAGTTGATGGAGGCGTCGATGGCCTCCTGGTCGAAACCGTCCTCGGCGATCTTCTGAAGGGTTTCCAACACGAGAGCCTCGACCTTCGGGACGTCTTCCTTAGAGACTCCCTGTTCGTGAGAGACGGGAGAGAGGGCGGGGAGTTGAGATGATGGGCTACACCCTGGGATATGAGAGAGAGGGGGGGGGGAACTGTGATGATGGTTAGACGAGAGAGAGGAGGAGCAGGTAGAAGTTGTCATGATAGCTACGATACATTTTGAGATATGAGAGAAGGTGGAAGTTGGCATCATAAATAACACCATGCGATGCACAACAACAGTAAAAAAAAATAAT